AAGGCCGCGGCATCCCTGCTCCTGAGGAAGAGCGGACGCGGCAAGGCTGGCAGCGGTACTACTTTGAGGGCATCAAACAGACCTTTGGCTATGGTGCACGCTTGTTTTAGGGCCTGCAGCAAGGGTTTTGACCGTGTTGAAACTTCAGTCCAGCCCTCTCGCGATGGGCTTGAGACTCACAGGATTGCACCATCCCAACTGCTAACTTGGGGCTGGGGCCCTTCCTTTCACATATACCTTGGGTTTGTGCATGTTTTCTGCTGGGTGGGATCTGAGGGTGATTTCTCTTTTATGTGTACATATGCTAAGTAAACAGAATTTTAAAGGCATGCATTTCTTATAATCTGTTGACTGGCAGCCTGGTGTTCCTTGAAGGTTTTGAATTTAAACAGATACGACGGGTTTGAAAGCTTCAGTCTGGCTAAGTATAGGTAATTAGATCACATGGAGAGAGCTGAGTACTGTAGTATACTCCTGTAGTCCCATACTCAGAAGGTGGAAGCCAACCCTGGCTGCGTACGAGGTTCAAGGCTAGCTGGGGCTATGAGACCCTATCTCAAAAAAAGTAGGGCTAGAGAAATGGCTCAGTAGCTAAAAGTACTAGCTATTCTTGGAGAGGAGTTGGATTCACTTCCCAGCGCCCACATGGCCGCTCACAGCCATCCAGTTCCAAGGGGTCTGATGCCGCCTTCTGGCCACTGCATGTCATCTCCATAGACACACATACAGGGGAAACACTGATAGACATAAAAACAATTAGGAAGTGTGGCTGTTGCTGGCAGCAGGATTCTTGAGCTGGTTTATTTTCACATGGCTGCCTTCTTACTGCACAGGATGGCTGGTCCTCTCTGGAATTACATCCCTAAGAAGTTCAGTTTCTGGGCACCAAGCTGGTAGAGGTGGGTCCTGGACTCTGCCCCCTTGGACCACAGGTGCAGGTTGTATGCACATGAAGAGGACAGGTGGTGGCTCTGTAGAGAACTACTCCTGTGTCTCACAGGCCAGTCTCACTGGCTCATGAATCCTGTGACATAGCCCTATAGTCTATCTCGCAAAACTTAAGCCTTGGATTTTTTTTTTTTTAAAGGCAAGGTCTTGCTATATAACCCAACTGGCCTTGAACTCGGGATCCCCCTGCCTCAGCTCTCGAATGCAGGAATTTCAGAGGCGAATGCAGGAATTTCAGAGGTGTACTGCCACATGTGGTCCTTTTAATGAATATATTGGCCTCTGGCTTCTTAGGTTAAGAGCCCAAATCTAACAGCTGATACTGAACATGGCTGACGTTTGGAATACAGACTATAACCACAGAGCTGGTACTAACCTTGTACCTACTGCCTTGCTGTGTTCCCCCCATGTATAGAAGCTGCTGCATTTCCTGTGTGTTAGCGTATCTCTCCTGAAGTAGAAAGTTCCAGGCCTCCCGCAAAAGAGGAAGAAACCTCTGTCCTTTCGGGTTCTGGAATATAAGTGTCCTGAGCTGCAGTCTAAGTGCTGGGAGACCTTTCTTTTGAAGTCCACAAGGCTGGAAAAGTGGACTTGTGAGCAGGCAGTCACTCCTAGCTGAGCCTGCCTCAGCTTACTCTCCGTCTCCCCCACCCCCAGCATGAATCAGCATCCTGCTAAGACACCTACTCATCTCCATTTCACTAGGCTCCCATCGGCCTGCAAGCTGATCCTACATGACTTGGCAGAATTGTATAGTTTTAATACAGAAGATCAATTCATCTTGATCTTAATTATTCAGATAAGCACTAGACTAAGATTGCACCTATTTTGGCATTCTGTCTGCCTGTATGGGACCTAAAAGATACTTTGACAGAACTTGGTCTCCACCTTAAATCAGTGAGCCCATCCTAATACAAGCAGAAGACAAGAGACTTGCCTCCTCCCGTCTCAGTTCCAAAGTAGGAAAAAATGTGAAGAGATGATGCCATACTGAAATCCAAAGCACCATGTGTCTGTCGGGTGACATGCTTCTTCATAGTCCCTGTCAACCATTGCTGTGTCACTGGTAACGTTTCAATTGGCCATCTGATACTACCATGCCCACAGTGAAGATAAAACCACAGATTTGTTTTGAATGAGTATTTCACTTCCTAGCCAAGTAGGCAAATTTCCTTGTCTGTAAAATGGATCTAACAGGTACCTTTTGAGACCATCCAAGGTATGTAGTAGGGTGCTAGTGTGGGCCTATACTCGAAGCTCTCAGGAGGCAGAGGCAAAAGGATCACTGCAAGCTCAGAGCATACTAGTCTTAGTGAGGTCTATGTAGAGAGTAAACACCAGGTTAACCTGAACTAGCTACAGAAGAGCACCCCATCCTTAAAAAATAACTAAAAATAAATAAGGATGGACATACTAGGTAATGCCTAGTATCTGCTAACTTCTGGACCCACAAACTCAAGTATTTTCCTTAAATCAAAACGGATAGCATGGGCCTGATGGTGGGGATGTAAACCTTTAGTCCTAGCACTTAGGAGGCAGAGGCAGGCCAGTCTGGACTACAGAGTGAGTTCTAAGACGGGCAGGGCTAGCCAGTGAAACCTCTCAAGAAAAACCAAAGGGCTGGAGAGATGGCTCAGCAGTTAAGAGCACTGACTGCTGAGTTCAATTCCCAGCAACCGCATGGTGGCTCACAACCATCTTTAATGGGATCTGATGCCCTCTTCTGGTGTGTCTGAAGACCGCTACAGTATACTCATATAAATAAATCTAAAACAAAACAAAAACATGATATTATGACATATGGGTTTAATTCATATTGCAACCCCCAGAATGATGGGGTTTCTGTGCCTAAGAATCACCTGGGGGAACATGTCCAATGCAGAATCCCAGACTTCACCTCTATGGAGACTGGTACTTCTTAAGTGGAGCCCACACATTTGCATTTTAGTGTCTCAGATCACTCTGGTGTCAGGGTCACATTTTTAGTAGAAGTTTTTCAAATATCAAGAAAGATCTATCTGGAATAGAGGAAGCAAAGAAGCAATCGGCTTTTGCAGAGTTAGGGGTGGAAAAGCCTCTCTGCTACTGGCTGTTTCAACTTGATCCCTCATGCAGCCTGTCTGCCTGCATGAAGCAGACCAGAGGGAGGAGGGGACAAAACTAGGTGGCTGGGACTACCTAGTAGCAGTATTCACAAGGTAGCCCTCTTGCTTCGTGCACAGCTGGCCTAGTCAGAAAGATGTGTGACATAAGGCTGAGCTGAAGAGGAAGGGCCTTCTCTGATTTCAAGGCCTCTTGGATCTGATGATAGCCACTCCTAAAGCACCCCTTTCAGAGGTTCAGTGAACCCCTGCCATTGGTGCCTTTCCTCCTGCACAGGTGTTCCTTCCCTTGTCGCCACCTGCACAGGATCTTTCTCTTTTGTGAAGCTTGAATAAACACAATTTCCTGGCTGATCTACTCCCCCTGTGAGACTCCCTGCAACTCCTCTTTCTTTATTCTCTCACCTGGGGCTTGATGTGGGAACAATTTAGTACAGCATTAAGATGGTGTTAAGTGCCAAGATACAATTTTAGAAAAGAGCTGAACCCACAGTGCCTAGGGAGGGACTCCAGGGATGCTTCTCTTGTTTTTAAAAGTTTCTGCTAAAAACATAATTCAAATGAGCAAAAGGTGGCAGTCATGCCTGTCGTCCCAGCTATGCAGGGACTGGAAAAGGCTTGGGAGCTGGTGTCTAGCCTGGGCAAGCAAGAAAGACCCCAGTCCAAAACAAACAAAATATGCCTGTCCTTTGGGTGTGTATGTTACGTGGGCTTGCATCCAAGGTCATTATGCATGCTAGGCAGGTGCTCTACCCCTGAGCTACATATCCAGTCCTATTATTTCACCACTGCCTCCCCCTAGACTAAACTAAGTCTCAATATGGAAGCCAAGCTGCTCTGTAGCCACTTATATTTTTACCTGCTCTGCTCCTCTGCTCAAGTCTGCTTCCAGCATTTCCAGGCCTGGAAGCCACACCCACCTTCCTGCAGAAGGACCATGGGGTGGGAGTTGGTCTTCTGAGCACAAACCCTCCAGTCCCTTCAGGCTCTTAAATGACCAACAGCAGTAATGTCTACCTTCTCCGTGGTGGGCTCCAATCTTCCTGCAGGGTGGTGGACTTGCCCTTAGTGCCCAACGGAAGAACTTTATAAGAACTTGATGGTCTAATATCTCTAGCTCCTGAACCCATTCAAGCTGACAGGCAAGTCGGTAAGCTACTTTGATGTGTAGACAGGAAGATGAGTTTTAAATTCATAATCCAGCCGGGCAGTGATGGCGCACGCTTTTAATCCCACTTGGGAGGCAGAGGCAGGCAGATCTCTGTAAGTTTGAGACCAGCCTGGTCTACAGAGTGAGTTCCAGGACAGCCAGGGCCACACAGTGAGACTCTGTCTCAAAACAAAACAACCCAAACAAACAAACAAAAACTTTATAACCCTCCTGTTTCAGTATCCCAAGGGCTAGGATTATAGGCTGAATTCCTTAGGCAGTAGAAATGTCCGTGAACCTGTCTCCTACCTGATGACCTGAGCTCCTGCTGTCCTGACACACTAATATCCTCTCTGCAGCAGAACATATTTAGATAATTTTTTAGACCCAGACTAGGACATATCCTGACATAACTCCTTCTCCCAAATGCCAGGGATGACAGTATGGTCCACCTCTCATTTCAGGTTGGATCCCCTCCAAGCCAATCACATGGAGAAGTGGCACCACTTGCCTGTGGAGTAAATGTAGTTTACCTGTGTCATAAATTTGGAATTCTGTGCCTCTGAGGTCTAGCCAGGTCCTAGACTGGCTCAAAGGTGTCCCTTTCTGGGTGTGAAAGGGACAACTAGTGGTTAGAGTCTAGTCTGCATTCATGGAGCTCTGAGGGCAACTGCTTCAGGAAAAGGAAAGGAGCGGACTGTGGGCTTGGTGACCACAAAGCCAGCCAATGGGAGCTTGAGCTGGGTGATAAGGCCTCTGCATCCTCCATCCTGTCAGGCCCCAAATCCTTTATCAAACTCTATGTGAAAATAAAGTGCTTTATTGCTGAGAATCCCAGGACAGCTTCCGGACAGCTGTGGATGGGGCTGGACTCAAGTTCCCTACCAAGCCCTTTTGGAGGATTTGTGAGTGGAGACAGAAAGTCTACAGTATTTCAGCTCCAGAGAAACCAAGGAAGTGTAGTTTGGGAAGAGCACGGGTGTGCTGGGAGCCAAGGCACACATCTCCCAAGTCCAAGTCCAGTGCTTTCAGTGGCGCCACGTTGGGGACATAAAGTGGGCCACTGGTGTGGGTACCAACACCACAGAATGGCCCACATCCGACATTGAGACTGTTTGCCCTGGATACAGGCAGATGATACCCTCCTGAGCCCACCCGTAGTACTGAGCTCCTCCCAAGCCTGGCTGCCATGGCTGTCATCTGGGGACTGAACAAAGAAGGACCAGAAACAGCTGGTGGTTCCCTACCTGGAACCAATCTCCCCTCAGCTCCGCTGACTTCTTGAGCCCACCGATGGCCTCACAGCGTGGGACAGGGTAGAAGCTGTGTGCCACAAAGAGGGGTGGTCACCCCAGTTCTGTTAGCCCAGCAAAAAGCATCTGTAGAGTCAGATGAAAGGACCGTCCTTTCTTGCCCCAGCCCTCCCTGTGTTCTTCCACAAGTAGCCATAGGATGGGGATCTAAGGGATTCACAGAAGATCCTGGGAACTGGGATGTATCTGGACCACCCTGGCTCAATCCTTAACAGAGCGAAAGGTGGAAGGGCCCCGTTCTGAGAAAAAGGGGAAAGGGCTTGTGGCCTGACTGGGATAGCTCCTCTCCTTCACTCCCCTTCAGACACATTCCCAACACATCCCAGGGACCTTATGCCTGACATACCCTCTCACTAGACCTTGAGATGCCTGGGTTCTCCTGACTCAGGATCACAAGAGGGGGGTATGCATGCCTAATGGCCTCTCAGATGGACCCTAATACTTGCCCAATCTGGACAGAGGCAGGGTAAAGGGCAGAAGGACCATTCTCTAATTCCTCTTCAGTATTCTTTGGCCTCCTGCAGTTGAGCCAGGTACTCTTCCTCTGGTGGGTTGTCTGCGCAGGCCCGGCCGTTGTTGGGGGGGCGCACAGTGTGGTAACGGCTCCAGTCCCCCTTACACAGGATCCAGGGCAGTGTATCTACCTTGAAGTGTAGCTCAGGTGAAAAGTCGGTGCTGACTAGGTCCGGAGCTCCTGCTCCTTTGCCACGGGTCAGCAACCGGCTGCCTTCATCATAGCAGCAGTGCTGGGCAGCCAATGTGCTGCTCTTGCCAGACAGCACGGAGCGCAGGCAGAAGCGCGCCGTAGGCTGGTAGATGTCCAGGCGCTCCCGTGGGCCACTCGCATCCCGCCATTGGAAGCTGCGGCCCTGATGTTCATCCTGTAAGCTCACGGCACTGTACACCGCCTCCAGTGGGTATGCACACGGGCAACTGGGCAGGTCCTTGAGCACTTGGCTCAGGTACTTAGCTAGGAAGTCACTCTTGCAGTTCAACCACTTCTCACAGCTATCCACATCTGCAGAGGGTAAGGAGGCACAGGAGAGTGCTGATCAGAGTTGCCGGCCAGCCCCAAGACCCTTGGTAGCAAGGAGGCTGACCATAATCAAGGTCAGTCACGTGGAGAGAAAGTGCAAACTCCAGCTAGTGCATTGCTTGGGAAGGCTTTTGGAGCAGAAGTAGGACTCAATAAAGATATGGAGGGGGCTGAAGAGATGGCTCAGTGGTTAAGAGAACTGATCGTTCTTCCAAAGAACCTGGGTTTAATGCCCAGCATCCACAAAGCAGTTCACAACTGTATGTAACTCCAAGATCTGACACCCTTGCACAGGAATACATGCAGGCAAAACAGTAATGTACATAAAATAAAATAATAATTATTATTATTGGTTTTTCTTTTTTCTTTTTTTTTCTTTTGTTTTTTTTGAGACAGGGTTTCTCTGTGTAGCCCTGGCTGTCCTGGAACTCACTCTGTAGACCAGGCTGGCCTCAAACTCAGAAATTCGCCTGCTTCTGCCTACCAAGTGCTGGGATTAAAGGCGTGCACCACCACTGCCCCGCAAAAATAAATTATTTTAAAAAGGATATAATGCAGATAAGGGATACTCCACACCATCCAGGCACCTGTAATAGGAAGCTCTCTATGGCTCAAAATACTGGCTTTGGGCTGGCAACCCCATGAGGGACACTGGCATCATCTTTTTAGGTTCTGGACTGTGGGAAAAATCCCGGGGTCATGGGAGGGAGCTGGGATAAGCAGGGATATGGTTTTTTGCTGTTTTTGTTCTGAGGCCTCAAACTTGCTAGGTACCTGAGGATGACTTTGAACTTTCAATCCTCCTGTCTCCATCTTCCACGTGCTAAGATAACAGACACACATTACCACGCCCAGCCTATGCCTTGCTGGGATTGAACCCGGGACCCCATGAGGGCTAGACAAGCTTTCTCCCAACTGAGCTAGCTCCATCTTCAACCGAGAGTGGCAGCTTTGGTCTTGCTTTTCATTTTACTCATTTTATGTGCATGGGTGTTGGCCTACATGTATGTTTGTGTATCACATATGTGCAGAGCCCACGGATGGAGGAGAGAAGAGTATGTCAGATCCTCTCAGGCTGAAGCCCCCATGAGGGGGCCAGAAATTGAACCTCAGTTCTCTGGGAGAGCAGCCTGCTCTTGACAGTTGACCCATCTTTCCAGCTCAAAGAGACAAGAGATTTTTTTTGTTTTATGTTTTTTTGTTTTTTCAAGACAGGGTTTCTCTGTGTAGTCCTGACTGTCCTGGAACTCACTCTGTAGACCAGGCTGGCCTCAAACTCAGAAATCCACCTGCCTCTGCCTCCCAAGTGCTGGGATTAAAGGCGTGTGTGCCACCACTGCCTGGAAACAACTGATTTTTTTTTTTTAAGATTTATTTTTTTATTTTATTTATGAGTACACTGTAGCTGTCTTCAGACACACCAGAAGAGGGCATCAGATCCCATTACAGATGGTTGTGAACCACCATGCGGTTGCTGGGATTTGAAACTCAGGACCTCTGGAAGAGCAGTCAGTGCTCTTAACCGCTGAGCCATCTCTCCAGCCCCGACAAGAGATTTTTTAACCAAGAAGTATTTCAGTTTTAGCTACTAGTCTGCTCTCCTTTTCCCTTCTCTCTCTCCTAAAAGAAACAGGGTCTCATGTAACCAAGGTTGTCTTGTCTTGAACCTTGAACTAATCCAATTGTTTCTACCTGATGATCAATAATTCTTCCTCCTCCTCCTCCTCTTCTTCCTCCTCTTCATCTTCTTTTGTTTGTCAAGACTGAGTTTCTCTGTGTAACCTTGTCTGTCTGTCTGTCTAGACTGGCTCTGGCTCTGTAGACCAGGCTGGCCTCAAACTCAGAGATGCACCTGCCTCTGCCTCCCGAGTGTTGGGATTAAAGGGGCAGGCCTCCGCCCACCGCCCAGCTGACTGACTCTTCCTCACAGCCTTTCTTAGGGCTCAGCTGTTCCAGGCTCGCTGTAGCTCCTTATCTCTGCTGCCTCCGCCCCTCTCTCTCCGGGACATGACACAGGTTCAGGAAGTTCCATTTCATCTTGTGGAACTTAGACTCATGATCCATACCTTAGGGGGTACAGACAAGGCCCAAGAACACCAACAGGAAGTGTGCGGGCAAAACAAGGCCTATGTCCTGCTGCCTGCAAGAAGCAGCCCAGGATATTGGAACCCTGGCTCATTCTGACAGGCACCTTCCCAAATGGTGCCTGCCAGGGAGAAGTAGTAGAAATCCCCTCTTTTCTTTGGGGTTCTCCTCTGGGGTTCCCATCAAGACCTCCTACCGTGTAGGAACCTGGAGCTGGGCAAGGATACTTGGCTTTAATCCCCCCCACAGGAAGATGTGCTCAGTGACTCCTGCTATACAGTGATGCCCCATCCTCCCAAGAGGAGGGTCCCCAAGACCCAACAGCAATGTCTAACCCCCAACTAACCTGGATCAAGCATATCCGTAGCATTGTGGGCAAGGGGCTGCCACCCCTCACTGGGAAAGCCCAATGTGTTCTCCTCTGCGGTGCCTTTGGGAAGAGAGGAGGCCAGGCTGGTGGTGCCCCAGGGCACTCTGTGCTCCCGATAAGGGAAGCCCAGCCCTCACTAGGCTCTTGGTGCCCACAGCAGCTGAGACAGGCCTGGGACAGGACCACCATATTCGTGAGCTTCCCGTACCCCTCTCCAAAACCTACCCTTCTTACAAGTATCCCACCCTAACATTCCCAGGGAAGCAAGGTCACAGTGTGAGCCACATTAGCCACTCCCATGCAGGGGCCAGAGCTCATCTCACCAGGACAGGGGGGAAGGTCGCAGACTCGGGACTCTGTGGCAGTACAGGCATAGCCGCAGGGCCTTGTCCTCTGCTGGTGGCCGTTGCTGCAGCTCCCACTGCAAGGAGACCAGGTGCTCCACTCCTCCTGAGGTGCATAGTCTGGGTTGAAGTAAGGGGCCAAGATGAGTGTACTTAGCCCGCAGGGCACATTGTTGTAAATTGACAAAAGGCACCCCTTTATCCCTGGCCAGTGAATGGAGCAAGACTGGATTCCAGCCCCTTCTGTCTCCTCAGTAAGATGTCCCTGTGCAGTGAACAGCCTGTGCAAATGGGTCAACAGGTCCTATGGAGACAGAACAAACTTGGGTCTAGAAGCCCAAGGGCTCTATCAGTGTGACCTTAGGAAGTCCACTTACATTTCTGAGCTAGTGTTTTCATGTCCATTGGAACCAAGGAAGAAGAGTTGATAGACTCCTTCTCTAGCATGCATACAGCCCTGAGCCATCTCTGCAGCCCCAGGAGAATCTTTAATCACCCCCCCCCACACACACACACACTTCGTTTCCATCTCCTTCTCTTTGTTATTATTTGAAAAAGAGTGTTCCCAGGATGGTTTCAAACTCAATATATAGCCAAAGGTGATGAATGCCAGCAATCCCAGCAGTGGGGACACGAGGGAAGGATAAGAAATCCAAGGTTGAGGGCTAGAGAGGTGGCTCAGCAGTTAAGGGTGCTGACTGCTCTTCCAGAGGTCCTGAGTTCAATTCCCAGCAACCACATGGTGGCTCACAACCATCTGTAATGGGATCTGATGCCCTCTTCTGGTGTGTCTGAGGGCAGCTACAGTGTACTCACATACATAAAATGAATAAACCTTAAAAAAAAAAAATTCTTCTGATCTGAGGAAGCTCAACCCCCACCCAGGCCCAGGCCTGTGCTCTGAGGCTCAGTGTGGAAGCCACAGGTCTGGCACACCTGTTCTCTCCTAGTTTCCTCAAGAAAGACTGCAAGGCAGCTGCCACCAGGAGTAGGAGGACAATGAAGGGAGAAAGCTGAAACTGGGAAAGGTCTATTTACATCTGTTTAGGAAACTGGGAAGAGCTTGCTGACTTAGTCTTAATCCTTGATGCCTCGGGGCTCCCTGGAGTGTGAGTGAGACTGTGAACCCAGAGGATAAGGGAGGGAGAGCATGAGGAGTACACACAGCCATCCCAGCCATCCCAGCAGGCCTTGGGCATCAGGAAGTACCTTATCACATGCTGATGCTTCAGGCACATATTCTTGGCATGTGAGTGGATGTGGCATGAGTGCTTGTATGCTCATATATGTGGAGGTACACATGTTTCGAGAATGCATGTGTGCATGTGTGGGTAGGCCTGAGGTTGACATGGGATATGTTTTTAAATATCTTTCTACTTTACATATTGACACACGGCCCCTTGCTAAACCCAGAGCTTGCCCTTTTTAGCTAGGTTGTTGAGTCAGCTTGCCTGTCTGACAGAATTGAGTCTCTGCCTCCAGGCTGCTGGGACTCCAGCTGTGCTGCTGCCGGTCTGGCTATTAATTTCCCCCTGAGACTTGAACTCTGGTCCTCACTCTTGCATCACATCACTCCGGCCATCTCAACAGCGCAGCTGTTTTATTTTTTGAGCCAAGGTCTCAAGGTAGCGCAGGCAGGGCTGGAACTCACTACACAGCCCAGCCTGGCCTCTCTCTCTCTCTCAGTCTCCTGCCTCAGGCTCTTGAATCCTGAGGCTGTGGTTTGTATACGACCAGGCCCAGCTGTATATAAGCTTGTTTATTTACTGTTACAATCAACTCTCTGTCATTTAGAAACGTTACTGTCTGTTTCAGACAGGACGGAACTGAGATACAAGGAGGTGAAATGACTTACCTGGGAACCCTCAGCTGCTGAGCAGCGGAGTGAGTGAGTGTTCACACTCACGATCTAAAAATGAGATTCATTATTTATTAGGGTATTTTCCCATTTTGTAGGAACTGATAAGTATGGATATTTATATATGAATATGTATATATGAATATTTAAATAGCTTCTGCTTAGAGGAGCTCAGGGCTATTGTGCAAGTCAAATATTGCAGAAAAATAAACTCTCAATGCTACAAGTCACGTTGGAGCTTTCAATGGAACCTGCACAGGCCTAGGCTGTTGGCCTGCCCAGTGTTCCCTGCCTGGGAGGCTCTCCTCCTCCCCTCCAACTCATTCCCACTCTAGACCTTGGAGGGCAGCAGCTGGGGATGACAAGCCAGACCACTCACCATAGCTGTCTGATTCCTGGAAGTCCCGGTCCTGAGGACCCAACCAGTCATAGTCCCAGTTGTCTACGGCCCCACTGGACCAAGGCTCTTCATCCTCATCTTCAGTGCCCCCTTGGTCCTCACTCTCGATGTACTCCAGAGCATAGTCTGTTCCTTCTTCCTCCTCTGCTTCCCCTAGAGCCCTGTCTTTGAGGCTGGTGGCTCCTTCTTCACCTTCCTGGTAGCCCCAGAAGAGGGGCCAAAAGAGTTCCTTTGTGGGCAACCAGCTAGGGGCATGCAGGGGCCAGAGATTGCTGGGCTCAGAAGGCAGGTCCATCTCTACCTCAGTCTGAGGGTCCTGAACCACCTCGATGGTCACCTGTGGGGAAAAACAGACATGTGCCAGAGATAGCAGGCTCAGCACAGGACTCCAGAGAGAGAAAACGGATTTGAGCCAGAAGTCAAGTCTCACCCTTGCCACCAAGGCTGCCATCTCCCCTGCCTCACCATGGCCTCTCACTGAGCAAGGGACACTGGGTAGGACTTTCTGCATGTCAGAATCACCTGAATGTAGATGCATTGAGACAAATCAAGTGCCAGATCCATTGGGTTAGGAGAAGCTGTTTAGAATTCTGCCTTTACCATCCATGGGCTGCCTGGCCTTAGGGACGAAAAGAGCCCAGACCAGGGCAGGGGTGGGGATGAGAGATAAGGCCCTGTGTCAGATGCCCAGATCACCCTCAGGAGTGTTCCAACTGCACTAACCATGTACAAGGGACTGCTGCCGTGGATGTGGATTTTAACATTTTAACATTCTTAGGCACTTTCAGATAAGAAGAGGTCACAGGACAAAATTCAGGGGGGAAAAGATCAGCAAAACCCAAAGGAGGAAGGTGAGTGTCACCTGTATGACTAGATCACTGGTGGGGACACGTGCAGCTTTTGTGTGCCTGCACACACAGTGTTTTTGTTTATTTGTTTGTTTAAAATACAAGCAGACAGGCTTTAAATCAATTGTAGAATGTTCTGTACTTTTGCAGTCTTTCTTTTGGATGAAAGTATATGAACAGGCATATCTACTATCCTTGAAGATTCCGGATAGGCAGCACAGGTTTCTGGCAGGCTTTTGTGGGCCTTTCCATGTTGTAGCCCTCCCCGTTTCAAACTGAATCCCTTTCCTGCACGAAGTAAGGTTTGGGGGCAAGACAGGGGATGGGAGGGGTCACACCTGTAGGACATTCCAGCAGGTCTCCACCACATTCCAGGACCCATGGCAGAATCAGGGGCAGGGTGTGCATATACTCAGTCCTCAAGGGTCCTACGAGATTGCTGGTTTTGTCCTCTGCTACATCCAGGGTCAAGGCTCCAGAGCCAAGAGACTTTCTGGCAAGTAGAGGGGTGGATACTCTTCCTACAATGCATTAGGAGTCTACTATCTTCACAGCCAGCAGAATAATAAGGTTGAGGCTCAGTTGCCAGCCTAGCACCTCCTAGAGGTCCCCTAGACAAACAACCACTCTACAGTCTCACCTGGATATTGGGGTTTGGTGCACTCAAGTCTGTGTTGGCCAACCCTGGCAGCTTCTGCAGCTCCAGCAGCAGGGATGTGTGTTCTAGGGTCCTGGGAGGGGTGGCTGTACCCAGAGTCAGAGCTGCTGGCTCAGGGATGGTCTGACATCTGGGTTGACATGGTTCTGTCTGCAGCTGGTCTCCAGGGAATCCTGGTGTTGTCTCCTTATCCTTGGGGGAGTTGAGATCTGGGGCCAGTGAAGGCTAGGGCGAAAGAGAAAGTCGAGTGACCAAGGTCAGCTTCTGGAGGTAGGAAGCCTGGGCCTGGCTGTACCACACACTCACCTGTGACTGTGAGCATCTGGAATATATGTTTAGAAAGTTTTCATGACCCTAGTGGGTAGGTGGGGTGCAGCTAAGCAGAAAAAAATGGACTATGTTCAGGTCATCAGGCTTGATAGCAATGCCCTTACCTACTGAGCATCTCGCCAGCCCACAAAGCTTTTGACAGTGGGATGCACACGACACAGCCCAGCTTACTCATCTTACAGATGAAGAGACCCAGAAGGAGGAGAGAGCTACCCACATCAGTAGCTCCGAAGTGCTGGTTTTAGTTTCCTGCCCCAGATCCTTGCCCCCTTACTCTATATGCCTATATGCGCGTGCACACACACACACAGACACACAGACACACACACACACAGAGCAGAAAGGTTTTCAGAGAAGAGCCTGGTCATACTGGGATGTGGGCAGCAGGCCTGCTACCTTCCTCTCTGCTCCTGTCCCCTCCGCATAACCCAGACATATGACCATGTCCTCAGAATCTACTCAGTGGCAAATTCCTTGGCATCTCCTTTGGCCTGCTTGGCCTTACACCTCATTTCTTCTAGCCTGCTCCTGTGACTGTCTGTTAGCTAGTCTGTCCCTCTACCAGTTGTACTTGGTGTCTGCCTTAGTCACTTCCATTGCTGTGAACAGACACCACGATCTAGGCAACTCTTACGAAGGAAAACATTTAATTGGGGACTGGTTTACAGTTTCAGAGGTTTAGTCCATTGTCATCATGGCAGGGAGCATGTCAGCAGGCAGGAAGGCAGGCATGGTGCTGTTGAAGTAGCTGAGAATTTACATCCTAATCCACAGGCTGAGAGAAAGAGAAGCGGGGTCTGGCTTAGACTTTTGAAACCTCAAAGCCCGCCTCCGGTGACACACTTCCTCCAAGGCCATGCCTACTCCAACAGGGCCACACGTCCTAATCTTTCTCCCTGATGACTAAGCATTCAAATATGTGGTCTATGGGGGCCATTTTTATTCAAATCACCACAGTGCCCAAGACAGAACTATCTGTTGTCAGCTGAGACTGTGAGAGGAAGAAGCCCCTGGCCATTCCTAGCAGCTCCTCACCATTCCCTTCAGATGGTAGACATTGGGTAGTCTATGCCCACTACCTATTTCTGTTCCCTGGGTACCCAGGGCAAGGGAGGAGCAGCTCCTTCCAGGGACACCTTGGTGGGTCCTCCCCAGGCACCAGTCTTGCCCCTTTCCACCCAGTCTCTGGTGCAGCATGGGGCAACTTCTTCTGAAGAATCAGGGAAGAATGGCTACAGAGGCCAGTTCTGCTTTCTACCTAAGCCTTCAATGAGGCAAGTGCCCTGACAAATGAGAATTCCTACAGAAAAAGGAAAGTTATAATTTTCTTACTAGACATGTCCACAGCATGTACTGTATAGCAGGCTGTATTTGTGTGTGTATATGTGTGTGTGTGCACGTGTATACATGTGTGTATGTGTCTGTGCTCACACGTGCAGATGCACATGTGTGTATGCCTGTGGAGGCTGGAGTACAGCTTTGGCTGTCATTCTTCAGACACCATCCACCTTTTAAAAAATTGTTTTTAGGCCAGGCAGTGGTGGCACACATCTTTAATCCCAATACTCAGGAGGCAGAGATAGGCAGATCTCTGTGAGTTCAAGGCCAGGCTTGTCTACAGAGTAAATTCCAGGATATCCAAAGCTACACAGAGATACCCTGTCTCAAAACTACAAAAAGAAAAAAAGAAAATTAAAATTTTATTTTATGTATGAGTGTTTTGCCTGGCTCTGCCTAAGCGCCGGGATTAAAGGTGTGCGCCACCACACCCAGCACTATAAGGCTCTTTACCAATTAACCAAGTGTGCCAGCCTCCCAGGCATTAGTCTACATATACTTGCTTGTCTATGAGACAGGGTCTCATGTAGCTGAGACTGGTCTTGAACACCTGACCTTCCTGCTTCTACCTAACAAGTGTATGCCACCATACCTGTCTCTATGTGGTGCCAGGGATCCATCCCAGGGCTTCAAGTATGTCAACTGAGCACTCCACTACCTGAGCCACACCTCCCAGTTCTTTATTCTAAACACTCCATTATGCATGTATCTCCCAACACCCGTCTGCTGGCAGGTACTAGTTCCCATTCCAGCTTTATGGACAATAGCAACGAGGGTAGAAGGGCAAATGCCCTTCCTGAAGTCACATAGATGCTGAGTGCAGTCTGGGACCAGGGTTTATACTCTTTTCTTCATTCTACATGACTACACGTTAGGAACACTGAGTTGCTGCGAGTCCCACTGCGGAAATGCAGAGAAGCTTTCCACAATGGGAGACCCCAAGAACATGAGGAGTCCAAAGGAGCTCCAAAGCTTTATTGTTCATAGTGAGTGTAGATGGTGTGGGTGCACCCCCTGTTTAAGCCAGTGGGGAGTTGACTTAAATAGGGAGGGGGGAGAGAGGACGGTCACTTAATTAGCTACACCCTCTGGTCTTTAGGTAACTCATTAATATGGAAATCTCTTGAGGTTGAAGCCTGTAATCACGCCCTCTCACTGTGTTAGGTGACACCCCTTTGGGAGGGGCTGTTTAGCCAAAGGTGACTGCAAGGCACAGGTTAAAAGGAAGTCTAGACCGAGTGTCAGGAGTCTGGATCTGGAGGCGTGGGGCCCGAACACCTGCCGTTTCCCCAATGGGGTCGGGGTTCAAGGCCCATGCCCAGCCAAGAACCAAGATATCCTTTCACAGCCTGACAAGTCTGTTCCTTTCTCAATCTAGCTGCTGGGTCTAGATATTTGTTCTCTCTCCTTCTTCTCTTGCAAAGTTGCAAACAGAGATTCGAACTCTGTCTCTTCCACTTGGATATCCCTTTCTGTGGCCCAGAGATGTATGCCTCCAAGGCTCCAACACCAAACACTTGAGCCCAGGTGACACCTCTGCCCTCTCAGCCTTGGGGTTAGCCTCTTGCTGGGTCAAAGCCACATGGTACAGGTGGATGGTGCAGAACCAGGAACACCCCTCTGCTGGCTCAACTGGAGACCTGAGCATCTCTGGTATGGCCTTCCTGTCGCACGCCCCCATAGCCTGACTGTCCTGACTCCCTATTCAGAGACCTCACTCTGCTGCAGCCTCAACCACATACAGGTAGTCTTGGGTGGCTTTGGTGGCTGGTCTGGATGCCCCTGTCACAAGTAAGGGGTGGTGGGTTACAGTGGTGAAGCTATGATTTTCATCTGGGAAAGACTTGCTAAGTCTGGAGTGAATGTTGTGGGGGTGGGATGGGGGTGGGACATGCACGGTTGTGTGGCACCTAGTGGCCAGTGGCCAGAACAGTAACTCCTGGATGTGAACTCTGACCTTTGACCCTTATCTACATCATGGGAGCAATAATGGCAGAGAGCATAGCCCAGGCTCTGCTATCATGAAGGTACCAGAACATTGCTTCTCATCCCTTCCCACCATCTTCTCTCCTAGTCCCCAAGGTCAACTAAAGCCAGGGAAAGCCCTGACCTTGGGTCCTAGCTGCCCAGGCTGCCCTTCCTCCTCCATATACTGCAGGAGCCTCTTGGACTGGAAAGCAGCCTTTGGGGGAACTGTTGGGATTGGAGAAGAACAGAGAAGTCCTACATGGGTGTCCTTTAGGTACCAACCCTAAAAAGAGCTAAATTCAGGTGATTCTTTTGGAAGGTGACTCCAGGAGACACGGCAGGGACTGGAAAAGAAGGACTGGGGAAGGGAGGAAGCCAACAGAATGTCACTGAGCTGGGATCACCATGGGCATCAGGAGCTCTCCATCCTAGCTGGCAACTTCTGGACCTGAGGTGGTACCCATTTTCCCCATAGGGGAAAGAACTGGTAGGATTGGTGAATTTCAAGCTAGCTATGGACAGCTATGGATAGACTCCACTAGAAAAGAAAAAAAAA